AAAACTCTAAATGTTAACTTTACTTTTCATCACAGCTATCAGGAGGTGAATTCAAGATCCTGGATGCTACCATTGCACAAGAACCTATTCACGAGAGGAGGTGGCCAGATTATCCCAACTGCTAGAAGAGTGGCCTACTCAGCCTTTCTTATGGTAACCTATGTTAATATAGCCTGATATTTGTAAATCCATTGTTGTCCTAGCATGGAGGTTTGCTCGCCTTCAGATGATGCCAAGACAGTGGCACTAACAAGATCAGTTATTTAGAGTTCTTGATATTTTCATGGTTTGTTCCTGAAATGAAACTGGTTGTTTTTATATTCATTATTCTAGTTCTCAGCAGATGTGCGAATGTCTTAAGTCAGACACAAATGTGCAGATTTTTTCAAAAACTCTTGTACTTATAGAATATACCTCCTTTAAAGTTTTTGCTTCAGCATTGATGTTACTGCAGTTTTGGACAGTGGTTATTGCACCCAGGTACATGATTGCTTCCAAACATTTACTGTTTTTTGTGATTTAATTAATCACAAAAAATCCACCTGACAATCAAAGGATACTTTTCCCAATATTTTGTAGTGAAAGCTATTTAGGACATAGGTTTTCATTGTTAAACCATACCTCACACATACCGGTTTTTAAGGCATAAAGCCTTAATGTAGAGTATTTGTGAAATGATCTTGAAAGAAGTTTAAAGGGAGTTTGCAATTTCATGTCACATTATTATTTTCTGTCACATTATGATAAGCCTAAAAACTATGGTGTTTGATGAACATGTCATTTTTGAGCCTTTAGGCTATGAAGTTCTTACAAACATGTCAAATTATAGGGCCTAATTGCTATGAATTTTGGAAAAAAAAATGTTACATCATTGGGCCTAAATATTACAAAGTTTTACCTACTTGGCACATTTTTGGGACTAAATGCTGTGAATAAAACAAAAAACAATCACAATTGGAGGCATAAACTTTGATGTTTTAGCCTAGACTGTGTACATGAAGTTTGATGAACATGTTACTTTATTATGCCTACAAACTGACAGCATCTTTGGCTTTGGGGGTATGAATGCAATTTCATTGATCATAACATGATGTCTGTTTTTCATTGATGATAACCTGATGTCTCTGTTACATCAATGTTAACTTGATGTCTCTGTTACATCAATGGTAACTTGATGTCTCCGTTACATTGATGGTAACTTGAGGTCGCTGTTACATCGATGGTAACTTGATGTCTCTGTTACATCGATGGTAACTTGAGGTCGCTGTTACATCGATGGTAACTTGATGTCTCTGTTACATCGATGGTAACTTGAGGTCGCTGTTACATCGATGGTAACTTGAGGTCGCTGTTACATCGATGGCATCTTGATGTCTCTGCTACGTGGATGATAACTTGGTGTCTCTGTTACTTTGATGATAACTTGATTTGTTTGTTACAGGCAACCCCTAGGATGATGGAGCCATACTTGTTTGTCCAAGTGATGGCACCTGCGGATTGCGTTTCTGCTGTTTATACTGTGCTGGCTAAACGAAGGTGATTTTCTCTAGAGTATTTGATAGTAGATAAAGATTTCGCTAGCAGCCTTGCACAGTGATTTTCAATTAGATAAAACTTGCGGATGCTTTCTTATTTTTGTCTCCCTATATTTCTTTATAGTCATATATTGACAATGAAGAAAGAGTCAATTATCCAAACTGTTGCTGAGTTTATTCTAAGTTTATATAGTTATAGCTAAAAGTTTGGGGTAGTTTAGTCAATTCCAGAATTATCATGAAAAGATGATAAACCAGACTAAAAGTGGAACCAGTCAACTTCACAATGTTACAAACAAGTAGAAAAGTCAACTTCACAATATCACAAATACAAACAAGTAGAAAAGTCAGCTTCACAATATCACAAATACAAACAATTAGAAAAGTCAGCTTCACAATATCACAAATACAAACAAGAAGAAAAGTCAGCTTCACAATATCACAAATACAAACAAGTAGAAAAGTCAGCTTCACAGTAGCACAAACACAAACGACTAATGAATGTTGCGGCGTAAGAGCCTTTATCAGCACATTACATAGATCTACAATACCACAAGTACGAACAAGGAAACACAAAATCTTAACTGATGTATCTGTGATAGTAATCTCATTTCTGTCTAACCAGTAGATTATCTGTTACATAAGCTCACCACTAGAGTTCAGTAGAGGCCAAGGCTCTTCAAAACAAATCTTAACTGAAAGAATTAGAACTAACTAGTTAAAGATGGCTGATGGTGATATGTTTTCATCTGCATCTGCCTGAGAGGCAAGGAACAACCAACTGCACACAAATAAGCCAGTAAAATGGTTGTACACAGAGAACTCATTGTCCTCTAAAAAGCAAGTCATAAGAGTAACTAATTAGGCATATTTTCTTGGAAGTCTGAATGCATCTGCCCGATTGTGCATAAAACAAATGTGCACACAAAGCTGAGGTTCTGTAACAAGACGAACAATTGATAAACAGCTAGAACTTTCCCGCGGTGAACACAAAGAAAAAGAAGAATAAAAAAAAATTAAAAGAAACTATTAGGTAGTTACTAGTTCTGTATTGCAAATATTGTTTCTTGTAATCCAAAAATAATTGATCCTTGAACTCTCTTCTCACAGAGGTCATGTCACCCAGGATGCACCAGTACCAGGCTCCCCTCTGTACACAATCAAGGCCTTCTTGCCAGCCATCGACTCATTCGGGTTTGAGACAGATTTGAGAACTCACACCCAAGGCCAGGCATTTTGTCTGTCTGTGTTCCACCATTGGCAGGTAGTTACCGATTCTAGCTAGTTCTTGGTACCCTTAGTGAAATATCATTGCATACTCTGGTTGTTTGTTATAATGCACTCTGCACTCTTTTATACTGTGTTTGCAAATTGTCCAGTGTTATGTATACTTAACCTTGCTGCATGGTGCTGTGACCTGGACAGTGAACCAGCAATTCTGGAGATAAAACTAACAAATACAGAAGTTCTGAAAAGAATGAAATGAAAGTTTCTGCCAGAAAAAAAAAGGTAAAGGAAATATTTTGGGCATATTCAAAGACGTAACACTTATAAAAACTATACTGGAAAGGAAAGTTGAAGAAGCAAGCAAGAGGTAGACATTGATACAAATGGGAGGATAATTTCAAGAAATGAACAAACAGCAGTGTGAGAGAGTGCACATCTAGAGTGAAAGACAGCATCTTATAAATACATTTTAGCCAGGCTTCATTGTGGAGATGGCACCTGATTGATTGATGTTGTATTTATTACTTTACTCATTTTTTGTGATGGGTGAAGACATTACAGAATATTGTAATATTTATATAATTGTTATATTTGTTGTTGAGATATGTAGTATTAGTTATAAGATTGTTTTTTTTTCTGTTATGTTACTTCTATAAAGCATCATTATATTCTCTTACTGGATTGATTGTTCTGCTGTCCTTTGGCAGATAATACAAGTGCAGGAATGTTTTGTTTAAATCTTATGTTTGTGGTATCACCCTCCAAGTGCCCTTTGGTCTATAAAATATAGGTCTAGCCCTATATACCCAATATGCCTGAAAGGCGTGGAAAAGGGTCCTTTACTTTACTTTTATGTTTGTGGTATATACACATATATATATATATATATATTATATATATATATATATATATATATATATATATATATATATATATATATATATATATATATATATATAGATCTCAGCTCTAGACCATCACATCAGGATATGATTTATTTACTTCTTCTGCCTTTCTAGTCCCCAATGGAGCATAGGCCCTCATCCAACTCACGCCAGGTCATTCTATCCTCGCCTTTGCATGGTGCTCTCCCAATGTCTAACCCATTTTTTAACTTCACTCTCTAGCTCCCTTCTCCATGTGTTTTCGGGTCTTCCTTTATTTCTTTGCCCCTGTGAGTTCCAGTGCAAAGACATTCTGTTTATATTGTTCTCAGATTTTTTTCAACGTTTGTCCTATCCAACACCAGCATCTTTTCTTCACTTCTTGGTCCAGTGGAACTTGTTTAGTTCTCTCCCAGAGCTCTACATCAGTGATTCTATCATAGCATTCAATTCCCTCTACTCTGCCCAGGTTTACATACTGCTAGGTATTAAAGTGTCATGGTAAGGTGGCTGTTAGATGTATTTAATTTTATCCTCACTGGTTTTTTTTTCCCCCCTCTCTCTCTCTAGATTGTTCCTGGAGATCCCCTGGACAAATCTCTGCATATTCGCCCTCTGGAAGCGCAGCCTGCTAACTATTTGGCCAGAGAGTTCATGATCAAAACACGCAGAAGAAAGGTAGGATAGACGTAGCTGGCTTAACTGATTTTTATTCTTATGTTACTTCATATGTTGAATTAAGAATCAACGTCACAGCAATCAGGACACTCCCATAAGTAATGTGTTACTAAATGTAGTCAGTTTGTTTTGGATATTATTATTATTTTTTATCATTGTACTGCTGATGAAGGGTTTTACCTTTGTTTGTTTGTTTGTTTATTGTTATTGATTCTGTGAAGCTGACATATACTTTATGTTTTATGTGTTTTTTCTTCTTCAGGGTCTGAGTGAAGATGTCAGTATTAACAAGTTCTTCGACGACCCTATGTTGTTGGAGCTGGCCAAACAGGATGTGATGTTGAACTACCCACTCTAGCAAGTTGGCTGTCATGCTGCGGTTGTATCCATTATTTGGAATATCTGTTTCTGTAGGCGAACAAGCGATGATTTCAGAGGAGGCAGAGGATTGAAATGGAATATTCAGCTGTCTCAACTCTCATATTTTGCTTCAGATATTTGGCCTTTGTCAGTTTCTTCTGCTTTCATCTCTTTCTGAGCAGCCAAGTTATATACTTCTTTCTATCCTGGTACACCCGAAACAACACCAGGTGATTTTAGATATCTTCTTCTTTATTCTCTGGCTATCAGCTCTGGCAGAAAATCCTGGTTTTTCATCCATTTGGACTTTGTGCCAGGGCCTGAGTTTTGCGTTTGCACCTGTTTTCTGGCTTATTTGTGTGCAACTGGTTGTTCCTTGTCGGTTCGGCAGACGCACTCCGACTTCGACGACATGCTTGTTGTGGAGGCAGTGAGTCTATTCTTGTTGTCCCCACAATGGAACTATGTAAACCACACAGGGAATTTGGGAAATAAATTGGCCTTGGATGCCAGGTTGGCCCAGTCTAAATTTGGTACCAGGAAAAGTCCAAATATGTATAGTTGACTGGTTTTTATTGTTGTTGACTGTCTCATCTACCAAGTGCTGATTGGCCTGTATAAACACACGTCTAGAAGCATATCATGAATATGCTGCTAATATACAAAAGAGTCTTTTGCTTATTTCAGTATTTCAATCAGGTGCTGTCTCCGCAGTGGAGGTTGACTGCAGTAGATCTCCAACATATTCTGTCTCTTGTCCTGGTTGTACACTCTCTCAGACTGCTGCCCGTCCATCTCTTGATGTTATCCTTCCACATGTATTGTTGCCCATCTGTTGCTCTTTTGCCTTCGACCTTTCCCTCCTGTATGGTTTTTAAAAGTGTGTTATGTCTTTTAATGCAGCCAAAGTGTTTCTATTGTTTCTTTTTCAGTGTGCCCAGTCTTAAAATAGAAATGTTTTTGAGTCAGAAGAAGTTTTCTTTATGTTCTTCTTCTTAACACTCACTGGCTGTGATTGAAAGTTGTGATTGTTCTTTCACTCCTGAACTTTGGACTTGATTCAAAACTGGAGTTTTGCCTGCCATCCATTTAGCAGATCTGCACTGCCTTTTGGTTGAAGAACAAAGAGTGGCATATTTTTGGATAATTTGGATGTTTCAAATAAAATATTATTGTTTCTCTACTCTTGTTTGCTTTTAACACTGTGTAACTCTTGGGTATTTATACATCACGTAGCTATGGTTACCATTGTTTTACTATTAAATTGTTGCTGTTCTGATTTTGAAATGAGTGTTTATGTTATTTTAATTGATGTGCTATCAGCACTGCATTTGTCATTTCAGCAATCATTTCTGCCGGCCTCTTCCCCTCTTCCTTCTTTGTGTCACATTTTGTTTTCCATATGTTAACTTTCTGTAGTCACAACCTGAAGATTTAACTCCCAGTGACTTAAGGAGCCATTGTTGAACCATATAGAGGTTATATTGCGGCAAGCTATGGCTACAAAAGTAACCTGTTGCCCTGTGTAGGTAGACTGTCTAGATCATGGAGTCAGTGTTACTCATATGTGGTATGTCTCTACATAATGGTTTTAGCATTTTTCATGTACAGTCTCACTCTGTACACATAGCATATAAATAGGGTCAGTCTCTACAAGATGGTTTTAGCATTTTTCATGTACAGTCTCACTCTGTACACATAGCATATAAATATGGTCAGTCTCTACATAATGGTTTTAGCATTTTTCATGTACAGTCTCACTCTGTACACATAGCATATAAATATGGTCAGTCTCTACATGATGGTTTTAGCATTTTTCATGTACAGTCTCACTCTGTACACATAGCATATAAATATGGTCAGTCTCTACATAATGGTCTTAGCATTTTTCATGTACAGTCTCACTCTGTACACATAGCATATAAATATGGTCAGTCTCTACATAATGGTTTTAGCATTTTTCATGTACAGTCTCACTCTGTACACATAGCATATAAATATGGTCAGTCTCTACATATTGTCGGTATTGCTCATGTACACACTTTACTGAGTGGGGTCAATATAGCTCATATATGGTCTGTCTCTACACAGTGGTGTCAGCATTGCTCATGTATGGGGCTGCGTGGTCTCGAGGCATGGTGTCCTCCTCGAGTGCTAGAGGTTCCGGGTTCAATCCCCGGTAAGGGCTGGGATGTTTTTCACGCGGACTTGGACTTCTAGTAATTCCCCCTGGTCTCTGGGTAGTGAGATTGGACACCTGTGTGCATTGTTGCGCATGTAAAAAATCCATAGGCAGTTGGAAATCAAAAAGAGCAGCCTAATGGCGCTGCCCGGGCAAAATTTGGAGTTGATAATCTACCCAAAGTATTTCAGGATCCTCGCCGGTGCTACAGAGCCTGTGCACTGTGTTGAGCTTCTTTGAACTCAGATTTGAGTTAGAAGAAGAACGGAGCACTTATGGGTTACTACCTATGTGCCATGATGTTGATCCGTTGTTCAAAGTTCAAACTTCAACTTCAATCTTCATTGCTCATGTCTCTACATAATGGAGTCAGCATCGCTCACGGTCTCACTGACTGACTGACTGACTTTCTACCCCACTAGGACATCACACAAACGATAAACACCCAATGACACAAAGTGCCACCATGTGGATGAGGATTGCCGTGGAGAGGTCCCAGAAACCGCGTTCAGACAATTGGCCATATTTATGGCCTGCCTATATTGCAGCTCCTGGCAAAAGCCAGGGTGGGGCTTCAGATAACAAAAAATTTCATCCTAAAAAGGACGAAACTGGATTATATGACGGTCTCACTGTGTACATAATTGAGTCAGTAATACTCATGCAGTCTCACTTTCCGCATAATGGAGTCAGGATTGATTATACAGGGTCCGACAATTAAGTAATGAGACTGATTCCATAAAAATTAAAATAATCAACAGTTGAAGATATAACCTGTATCTGACTCAAAGTAAGCCCCTTGTGCATTGATAACAGCAAGTGGCAGGATCTAACAAACACTGGAACGTCTGGTTCTTCTATCATTATGGCCCTTAAAGTCAATGCCTTTGGATGTCATCAATATCGTTAAAGAAGCATCCTTTCAATAGTAACTTTAATTTTGGGAATAGAAAATAATCGTATGGAGACAAATCTAGGGATAAGGATGGAAGGCTGAAAACACACACTTGTTTTTAGGCCAAAATTTCTTGTTTGGATGATATCTCTTGGGTACCCAATCCGCTGATGTTTTTGGTAATCAGACAATGAATGTGGTACAGACTGGCAAGCAACTTTTTTCTTGCCAAAATCTTGCACTAAAATGTTATGAATTGTCTCTCTATTAACACCAGATTCATCTGCCATCATCCTCACAGTAAAACAAGATCTTCTTGTATCTGTTATCTGTTTTTGCAATGAGTTCATCATTACGAACAGAAATTTGACATCCAGATCTAGGTGCATTAGTAATCATTTCCACACCACTTTTGAATCGTGAATACTACCTGAAAATTTGTGCCCGAGATAAAAAATTATCCCCATAAACTTGTTGCATCAATTCAACTGTTTCAATTGCGCTTTTTCTGAGTTTTTAAAAGAATTTAATGTTGGCTTTTTGCTCCGTGATGATTAGGTAACAATGCACCTCTGACTAGGTCAACAAAATGGCGGCTTGTTTGTTGTTTGCTTACCGAGTGGCTATGAAAAGTTGCCAGATCATAGATGAATGTTGCCTTTTTAGATTCCATGCTTTTCTTCATAGATGACATTTTTGTCTTGGCCAGTCTCATTACTTAATTATCGGACCTTGTAGTCTCTACATAACTGAGTCAGCATTGATCAATTACAGTCTTACTCTCAACATTATGGAATCAGTATTACTCAACGTACAATTTCTCCAATAAAACCTATGACGAGCGGCAAATGTGACAACAGCTTTATTGTTGCGTGACAAATAAATATGAAGTTTGAACATACACGTTTGCTCATTTGAGGTAGAACATGTTTTTTTTGGGGGGTAATATGAAACATCAAATAGTTGTCCATACATACAGTTAGCATGAACACACATTACAGGTAAGTACGTTTAAAGCAGAACTGCTGATGACGTAGAAATAGTAATACGAACTAGGTAAACAATATTTGTAGATTGTAGACAAATATTTGTAAGTAAAAAAAAAAACTGTGCCATTTTTATTTTCATGGGAAAGTTTGGATTGATTTTGGGTTTTATGCAGGGGATATGTTAAAGGAGTGTAACAACATTAGGTAACATCTTACTCCTCCCTCTGCGACGATTAAAGCTGATGTCAGTGACGATTATGATGATTACATTATTGGTCATGGTTAAATGCAAACTTTATCTTACCTGTAACCCAAAAAAAAAATTTAACAAATAGAAAACAACAACTCTGTAAGTCAACAAACTGAGATTACCAGCGATCACTCACACCTAGGTGAGTCAACAAACTGAGATTACCATCAATTACCCGCATCTATGTGAGTCAACAAACTGAGATTACCATCGATCACCCACACCTATGTGAGTCAACAAACTGAGATTACCATCGATCACCCACACCTATGTGAGTCAACAAACTGAGGTTACCATCGATCACCCACACCTATGTGAGTCAACAAACTGAGGTTACCATCGATCACTCACACCTAGGTGAGTCAACAAACTGAGATTACCGTTGATTACCCGCATCTATGTGAGTCAACAAATTGAGATTACCATCGATCACTCACACCTAGGTGAGTCAACAAACTGAGATTACCATCGATCACTCACACCTAGGTGAGTCAACAAACTGAGATTACCATCGATCACTCATACCTAGGTGAGTCAACAAAATGAGATTACCATCGATCACTTATACCTAGGTGAGTCAACAAACTGAGATTACCATCGATCACTCATACCTAGGTGAGTCAACAAAATGAGATTACCATCGATCACTTATACCTAGGTGAGTCAACAAACTGAGATTACC